AAAGAAAGATGACAGCTTGTGGCAGGAAGTATATGCAGAGGGAGCTCAGGATCCCTGGGAGTCTTGCTTAGGTTTATTGCCTAGTTGTGATCTTTTTTAGTTATTATTTTATTTCCCATACAAAATGTGATAGAGGCAGTTGCTGAAATAAAGAGGTAGGCCAGCAGCATCCTCAAACAAAGTGTATTATTATTCTTCACAAGGAAGATTTGTCTGTGGCCCTTTGTGTTTTTACTGTCCCACTGTTTCACAGGTGACAGCCTCACTCAGGTAGTGCTGGCTTGCTCTGGGACCATTTCAGTAGATCATACATGCAAATACCCTTCTGCACCATACGCTATCTAAAGTATAATAATAATCCTTTCATCTGTCCACTGCATGACATCTGGGCAATTATTTGACATAATTGTCAAATTGTGCATATCAGTATATCAGAGGAGAAGAGTGCCAAGGCAGTGGTAAAGAGATGAAGATTTAGGAAGATGCTGTGGGGCAGTGCCTTGAATCAGGGGAAATCTACCTGCATGTCGCAGGTGACCAACTGTAAAAACTTTATATGAGAATAATACTACCCTGAGATAGCACAACACAGAAGAGGAGGGGGAAGATAAACTACCAGGACCCAAGTTGCAGAAGCACATTAATATTTACTCGATATCTCTTTATACCCTCTAGTCAGCACAACAGATGTAGCGGTGTTTTAAGACATCATTCATTGAAAAAGGCAAAAAAAGATAGTCTTTTCCTCCCTCTGATCCACGGTAATCTCAGATGTTTGCCCTGTGCTCTGGGGGGTGGAGGTGGAGAGCCGAGGGCTGGTGGGAGAAGAATGCAATTATCCCAAAGCCTCCTGACGGGCATCCACTTCTTCCTTCCAGCTTAGCTGCTCTGACCATAGGCTGGGGGCTCATGGGACATGGACCAGATTGAAAAAGTAGGAGCAGACAGATGGTTATTTGTAATCATCATGTAAATGTAAATCCTATAAAAATGTTTTCTTCCTAAGGACCCAAAAGCTGTTGTACTGGAAAGCAGGATTAAGGCATGGATATCAAGCCTAGAGTACTTTTGACCCCCTCACCTTCCCTCCTTCCCTGTAAATGTTGTAGCTTTATCTCAGCTTCCTTTAAACAAATTGCTGGAGCCTCTGTCAAGGAAATTAATTCGGTTTCCATGTAATTCCCTCAGTTTATGAGCATGGGTTTGACCGGGGACTGGATTTGGTCCTAAGCTGGCAGGTGCTGGCAAGCAGTTGCCTTGGTAGCAAGGACTTCTTTTTCCCTCTTTCTCCCTGTCTCTGGCAGGTTCGTGGCCACCAAGTGTTTATCTCAGCACTGCCGCTGAGAGATGCGCTTGCTTCCTGTGATTGCACTCACAGGTACCTGTAAATGGCCACACAGGACTTCGCATCCCTTAAAGACCACCATGACAGCTTGCAGACATCTATCTTGTTTGAGCAGCATCAGCTTGTTCAAGCTACAAAGATACCGATCAAAGTTTAATTAGCTTTTGTCTGCAGCAGCATTAGAGGCTGTGTTTACAATTTAGCTGTCCTTTCCAGACAGCAAGGTGTAGCCATCCGGAAGCTTTTGCCCTTCTGAGGCTTTGCCTATTGAAATATGAGGATATTTGAGCTGCCGTGGGGTTGGACGAGGGGAGCAGCTCCCCTCTACATCACCGTCAGGGCTGCATGGCAACCTCTATGGTGCTGCCCTTTGAGTAGACTGGGGTCCTAGCCTGGGCAGGCAGGGTGGGATGCCAACCATTATTCTCTTTGGCGTTTAGTGTCCCTTGTTATATAGAGGATAACACCCGTACGATCACAAAGGGAGCTGTGTAACTTATGCTAAAATTGGGATAAAGCAAAATAAGAACATGGCATGAGGAAGAGGATCCTGACAGAAAATGGACCCTGTCACGTGTGTTGGATTTTTAAAATGTTAATATTTGTGCACTGCCAAGAGGGCCCTGAGGAGGGCTGGCTTCTCTAGTGAACAAAAGCCTTTTACCAGTGTGTGGAGAGGGGCGATCTGCTCAGGTGCACTACTAGTTATTTGGAAGTATCCAGCAATTGTGGATAATTGGCTGAGGAATATTCTGCAGCTCTCAACCGTTTTGTCTGTTTTCACAGACGATTGTGCCATTAGATATGGTGTATGCCTTAAGCTGTGCTGCAGCTTTTCCATTTACTGTGTGCTAATAAGTGTGAACTCAACTTCCAGTTGATGCTCCTTTCATCTGTGGCTTTCTGTGCCACTGGAGTGGGACAGTCAAAGTCGCCAGTTCACGCACTTCCTCTTCTCTGCTCCTTCTTTCTTGGGGTGATGTTTGGATGTGCTGGGATGGGTGTGCTGATCAGATTAACATCTGTGTTTTCTATCAGTGTTGTTATATTCCATTAAAAACAGTGAATTGCAGGAGTGACAGCCTATTCCGTCTGCTTTTTACCTTGTTTTTCTCTTTGCTTTTATTCTTACTCCTTTCCTTCCTTTTTATTTTCGCTCTCCCAAAATAAGTGTTCCTCCTCTTCCCTTCCAAGTTGTTTTCTCTCTTTAAATTTATATTCCACATGTTTTTTCTTATCTTTGTCTTTCTCTCCCTGCTTTATTTTTTCCCCTATTTCATTTTTCTCCAGCCGTTTTTGTTTTTCTCCAAAACGCAGAATGCTTTAGATGGAAATGATGAGATATATTTATTCAAGATTCACATATGTGCCAAGGTACAGAGCAAGATTAAGTAAACCCTGTAGCATCAATTTTGTCTTCCATTCAAGCCAGATTTGCAGTAAGACTTGGGTAAAGGAATGTGATAAAATCAAATCACATCTTAGCCTCATATTCTGAGGCTGATTGGAACCTTACACAGTTGCTGGGATGATTCAGAGAAAGTTAATGTAATTTGCTGTGTATCACCCCAAGAAACTGTGTTTGTCAGCTTCATAAAGCGGTGTGAAATGTTCAAGGAAAATGCCTTCCTTAATGTTGCTGCTAGGGGTTAGGAGAGAGGAGTGTATAAGTCATTATGTTGTAGGATCTGGTGATTTTGTGGCAATTTTCCACTAATGGATTTTCACTGAAGTTCTGTAATTGTACAAAGAATGAAGCCAATAAAAATTAATATTTCTTTTGTGTGTAAAAATAATGGAAGAATTTGATACTTATACAGTGGCCAGTTCTATGAAAGAGGGCATAGTATTGCCTAGGACTTTTTCTTCCTGGGTTTGATAGTGATCACAGAGATGCATGAAGATGTTTCCTAAAATATGTGATTTTGTAATGCTTCTTTTTGTGATTCTTTCCCTGAAATTCCTGTGATATGAACTTTCTTGGGTTTGCATAATGCCAGATAGTCAGCAGCCCATGATCTCCAGCATACTGTTTCAATGCTGTTCATTGCATGTTACTTTTTCATCTTGAAGCTCTATAATTCAATTTCTAACAATTTGCTTATTGCAAAACAGAAGTGTATGAGTATTTTTATTAATCAGAAATATTTTGGGCTTGAATCTTTTGTTATCTGTTGGAAAAAATACATCTTTTGGGTATATAACCGAAGAAGTCTAGTGGCTCTTACCAGAGCTGCATTTGTTGCCAATTGTGTCCTGTCACTTTTATTTTATATTTCAAGAGCAGTCAGTCCTTTTTTTTTTTTCATGTGTTAGGAAAGGAATTAACTTCCAATTAATTCCCTCCTTCCTCTGGGACCTACCTGTGTATCCCAAAATGGGGAACAATAAAAGTTACTTCCTATGTCGTTTTGAGTGCTACATGTACACAGCCCTCTCACCTCAGCCCATTCAGAAACCAATTCTTGTATGCATTAATCATATTTTCTTCTGGCTTATTACAGAACAGAAAAATATTCAGTTCCAAATGTTAAAATGGGGCACATTTTATTAACACTGAAAGCAGTAAATTATCTCTGCTTATGAAATGAGACTGAGCAATTTCTGATGAACTCTTCTTGACTTGCCCCCTTCACTAGGAGACAGTGTTTTTTAATTTCTCAGAGGGCCCCTGTTCCATTAAGGGCGAGAACTGTTTTAAAGCTGTAATGAAAGCCATACGTAGCTGAAATTCAAGGAGGAGAAATGCCCTAAATTCTATTTCAGTAGCTCATCTAGAGCTATTTTCAGTTTTATGTTTATAAGAATGTCAATTAACCTAGAGACTAGGACACACATGGAAGAATGACGATGAAGTGGATATTATTTTAACACACTGAAGCCAGCTAGCTGGACCTAATCCTTCTCATAGAAGCCTTATTTACATCAGAATCTGCCCTGTGTTGCCTCAGACAGCTTGGTGATTTAAATGCTCTTTTCTTTCGATGTCTTGGGGCAGCACTGGTCAAAGTTGCAGAAATACTAAAACTAAAAAAAAAACAACAAAAGGAAGAATTAAATATGCTGGAAGCATGCTACCATCAACTTGATTTCTCTGACAGCTTTTAGAACTGGTGATCTCTTCGGCATGCATTTGGTGATAGCAATAATAACAGTAATAACAATAGTACCCTTCATCAAAGTGTAACTCCACAGTTCAGCATTAGTTGTGTCACTTTTTCACCTAGCTTATGCTGAGTTGGAAATCCAAGCAAATCAGACATTCAACATGTTGTTTTCTTTTATGAAAAGAACTCAACATCAGGCCTGCAATGCTAGTTTTGCAAGTATGGGAAGTGACCCTGTCAAGGTTAAAAAGAGTCAGAGGTGTTGCAGGTCTTTCTAATTTAAATGCAGATCAGTGTTCTTATCTGGAGAAAAAAAGGGGGGAAAAAACCCATGTACGTGAAATCTGCTTCCATTGGACAAAAGGTCATTCCTCACAAACTTCTGACATCTCTTACAGTAAATACAGGGTGCAAAGTCATCACCTAATAATGATTAAGGCTTGTTTGTTTAATATTTAATATGTGTACCTGCATGTGTTTTTTTCCCCTACTTGCAATGGCATCACTTCTAGTAATTTTTTTCTTCTTTCTCTCATATATTGCATTAGTGCTACGGGATGACTTCCGCCAAAACCCTACAGATGTTGTGGTGGCAGCTGGAGAGCCTGCCATATTGGAGTGCCAGCCACCTCGTGGACACCCTGAGCCTACAATCTACTGGAAGAAAGATAAAGTCCGTATTGATGACAGGGAAGAGCGGATCAGTGTGAGTATAACTCGAGTGCTTGTCTATAGAGGCAGGGCCTGCACTGAAGCCTCACACTGACTGCAGCAGAACCTTAAGGCTGTATAGTCATTAGTCTTTACAGTTTGCCTCTCCAAGCTTTCCAGATGAGGGGGGAAGAGTTGTTCATTTCTGCTGGTTTGGGTCTCCAACCTGCACTTCTTGAGGCCTGATTTGTATAACCAGTGCAAAGGAGGTCCATTAGAGCTGTTGTTTTGGTTATGTAAGGTGCGCTGTTAGATGGGGGACACAGTGGATGTCTTTGATCTATTTGGCCTTACCTTTTCTAGATCTCAGTTCATTAAAATGAAATCCCAGTTCAGTAAGAGTATCAGACCTTATATCAGAGAGGTGTTTTAAAGATATAATCAGTCATATGTATGAGGTACACAAATACTCTACGGGGAAAACCACCAGCTTAGGATGAAATCGGTAATGTATTTAGTATAGTAACTGGGATGTGTATTCTAAATAAATTGTAAAGTTATAATCTAAAGAATGATTGCTCCTGATTAAGGATTAATATTGAGTAAATAAGTAACACTGGTTGAATTCTGTGACAGTTCATTCTATGTACTGAACGAAAAAGGATCCAGCAGAAATACCTAACTTATCAAGTGATTAGAAATTCTTGTGGTTTATGCAAGAAAATTACTAAATTAAGGGTGTGGGGACATTTAATTCCTGATTTTGAAATGCTAATACTGTTAATATTCATTTAAAAAGTTTTACATTGTACGTAATGATATGTAACTCATTCGATGCTGACCTTATTCGATATGGAAGTTCTATCAGGAAGCTTGTTTATTGCTTTGGATGCCTGAGGAATTATTTCAAGCTAAACAGTCTAAGTTGTTGCTATTTGTGGGCCAGGCTGTCTCTGCTAGGGTCTACTCAAGAGTAGAGAAAGGAAGAGTGGCAGGGAACTGGTTATTATTATTATTGGACTCTGGTTTCTTTGGCTATATTCTTAGCTTATTGTGAAGCACCCCACTAACTTTTGACACTGTCTGTGACTTCACAAGCTGCAAATGTATTACTTTATTGCTTTCAGGTACTCTGCTCTTTCACTCTGTGAGCACCCTTTGTAGGCCAGGAAAATGTTTAGTCTTCTGGGAGACAAATTCTCAGTTTGGGCTAGGTTCAGTCTGTTTGCATCAAGGAGAAGAGAAAATCTGTCTTAATCAGTGAACAAAGAAACTGCTCAGACACCAGTGGGAAAAAAAAAGAACTAAATAAAACTAAGTAAGATTGCCTTTTTCTTGAGGGAGATGTCAAGAGTGCTTTGCATATCATCATGCACAAATTATAAGCACTTTGCATTGCCATAGAGGAAGAAATGTAATCTTTGAAATGCAGAGCATTTAATGAAAACTGAAGAAAAAACTGAAGTGCAGCTAAAACCAGTCAGTAGGATAAAATGTCTTCTATAACAGCGTAAAGACATTTAAATATATAGGATTATAATTTTAAAGCTATACATATATTTATAAACAAAATTTTTAAGTGTCTTAGCCTTTAGGACTTGCTGCCTGAGAAGGCAACATTTTGATGGTATTGTTTGTTTACCTGAAGGTAAAGATACATTCCTTGTTTTGAAACAGATACGTGGCGGAAAGCTGATGATCTCCAATACAAGAAAAAGTGATGCTGGCATGTACACTTGTGTTGGCACAAACATCGTGGGGGAGCGAGACAGCGATCCAGCAGAGCTGACTGTCTTTGGTAAATCAACTCAAGCTTTTGTTTCCTTTCACTGCAAATGCCATAGACCTAATTGACCTACATGACTCATCAAAATAGGAGGCGAAACAAGGTTAACAAAATGCAGTAGTACTGCTTCAGATGCATTTCACAGTTTCTGCAGACCAGTTTTCAAAGGCTGCAGTTTGTAATTATGGAGCTGTGATGGCTCAAAATTTTCTTTCTCAGCACACAGTTTCAGTCTACTTGGAGGTCCTTGGTGGCGTGCATACAGTCAGAGGCGGTAGGGCAGAACACAATGCTCTCCCACACAAAATGTAATTAAGCTACTTCTAATATGGTTGACAAATGCCTGCTTGCCAGAGATTTGAACCAGCATTGCCTATTTGAATAATTCCTTATTGCTGTGGGACTGTGAAATCAAACCTTTGTAGGAGAGCACAGAAGAGCTCAATTGATCAGTAAAAAGTCATTGGAGAAAACCCTGAGATCAATTTTTTTGAACATATAGAGATACTTCTGCCTTTTTTTTTTTTTAAAGAGCATGAAACAGCTTTTCATCCTGCAAGCCAGGGCATCATTTAGGGTTTGGTGCTGCGGAATGAATCAAAATAGGATAGGCTTCCTGCATGAAAGAACTTCCAGACCTAATGGGCAAAGCAAGAAGTTGTTAGGAACATTTGAGCTATGGTTAGGGTCTGCAGCAAGAATAGAATAGTACTGAACCTAATGCTGGATCCATCCTGCCAACAACTGGGAAAGAAGCAAGCCTTCTTTCCCGCTGCAGTACATCCTGCAGTCATGATATTTCTATTTACCATTAGCTGTGGGTTTGCAGGAATTAGTCAAGAGGTCTTGAGCAAACAGAAGAAAATCAATAAGGAAAAAACTCCTCTCAGCTAAAGAAAACCCATACAGGGATACAAAAGAGAGAGAAAAAGCATTAATGTTCCCTCCTGCTACAAGCTTTTTGATATCCTTGATAGAATACTAAAATTCCAAACAAGACTGCTTGTAATCCTAGTAATACTTTCCATATAAATCCTAAGTTCCTTTCTCAAGCAGATGATCCTGTTTTTTTTTCCCCTTCTACCTAATATGGCGCACTGAAAAACCCTATCACATGGTTCTGTGCTTGCATTTATGTGCAATTCAACATTTTGTTTGTCCACTTGAAAAAAAACAAATATATTATGGTATTCAAAAGGCATAGAAAAGTCTCTGCTAGACAAGATCTGTGGGTGACTGAGGATGTGCTGCTTTCCAGCATTACAAGACTGTAAAAGCTTCCATTCCACTTAGTTTGTTGTGGATTCATGGACTTTTAAAGGCAGAACTAGTATACCTTGCAAAACAAGAAAAAACAACACAGAAATGATCTCTGTCAAATTATTATGTCCTTTGCAGCCCATCTGTTGAAGATGTGCCTTTTTACAAATGTAAAAGAGACATGACATATCTTCTTCATCAGTTTAAGTACTGATAATCTCTGTTAATACTCCCTGTGGATAGCAAGCAGATTGCAGTCCTAAACTATAAAGCCTTAAGAAATGCTTAAGAAAATAATTTGTTAAAAGGCATTGAACTGTAGGAATAAAAATTGAAATAGGCATGTAATTTTGTATCCTGCAGAGCTACAAAAAATATTAGGTTTGTCTTGATATGTAAAATAATACATAGCCGATTGCAATGTTCTGATTTTTTTTTTTTTTGGCAGGATTTAATCATAGCAATCAACTCTTAAAATACAACCTAAACCTAATTTGTGGATAGTGAACAAAATCAGCAATAAACGAAATTAGGTATTTTAATTCTTCATAATTGTGTTAGGCTTCTTGAATAAAATTGTATTTTAAATTCCTTTCCTATCTGGGTATCTTCCTATCTAAAATTCATCTTCAGTCTAGGTATTGCCTTCCTATTTTCCTTTTCGCCGTACAAGTATAGCATGCAGAAGGCAGGCACTCAGGTCATCATCTGCTGTTTGACAAGCCAATTTCACTATCCTGTGCCCACTTCCTCGGTGTCACCCCGCCCTGAAGCTCCATGTTGGTGTATTGGACTCACTGGATAGATGTGCAGAGGTTAGCCCTTGTCTGCCCTGTGTGATAGGAGGTGACTTGGCTTTGCCTTCCAACAGCAGAACAGTTGTATGCCATTCCTGGGCTACAGGCAGCAGCTAGTGGGCGAGTGGGTGTATGGACAAGTACACTGGAGAGCATTATTCAGATTTTTCCAGGAAGCAACTTATCTACAGGGCAGTCCAATCAGTATCAGCATACACAATAAATCCAGCAACTCTGGGAAACATCAGATTCACTGTGCATGTTCAGATTGACTTCACTGAACAGTGGCAAAGCTACGGGTCATTTGTTAAGTCCAGCACCTTCCTCTAAGGTGACTCACAGGTTTGAGGAACATGGGAATAGTGCAGACATGGAGGAAAATATGCTAAAAATATCATAATGCTTATATATTATTCATGTGCACAATTTTAACTGTTTTAGAGATATTTGAAAATGGGCTTTAGAGTTAAAATGAAGATCTCTTAGCTGAGAGACTTAGAGAATGCAATAAAGTGGCTGGAAAGCCTACAGCTGATGCTGATTCTGGAGAGGAATGTGTATAAAGTAGCTGATTATTAATGTCTCTATTCATTTTCCAAATAGTGAACCCCCAAAACCTTTCCATAGTCTGAAGGAGGCCTTGGTAAACATGCTACTCTGTAGAAAAAGGAACTGTTTCATACTAGTTTATAAACCTTTCCAGGAATCGGCCACTTGTTACTTTTGGCTTTGCAAGTTTTTCTGTAATAGTTGAAGTTAATTTCTGCATGTGATTCATGACAGATCTCTGGCTTCCTGTACAGTAAATTTATATGGAGGTACTGCCTCTGGAAAAACTGAGTCAGTGTGGTGGTAATTGGTGGCCCAAGGGGAACAGCATGGAAGCCTAGCCTAAAAGATTACACCTTTCCTGAGTTTAAAAACAATAAAATACATGGGCAATAAGAAACTACCTTGGAAAGAAGTAGATAAAATTGAAAGTTCGCAATGTGCAGAATACAGTCACTTGGCTGGGTACCCATTCAATAAGAACTATTGCTAAGAGACAGTTGTGGATAATACCTGTAGAACTTTCACAAAATTAGTATTATATTTGTCAACCCCGTCTGCATAAGAAACCTAGTTTTCAACATTTAGTCACTGCTAACAGCCTACTTTTAGTGTCAGCGCAGATTTGTGTTTCTTTTGTTCCCAAGTCATGTTTCTTCTTCCAGCAGAAAAATGTCCAAACTTTCACAGTAAAATATCACAAACAAAACTGATGATATAAGTAGTGCTTCCAAAAAATTATCCTGGTGTTTTGAATAGTGGCAGTGATGCATTACATGATATTAGTCTTTGCTTTCAAGCACTAGTGATAGTTTTTGCCTTTTATGAGACTCCAAGGTGTAATCACGGATTAAAGCAAGAAGACAAGGTCTGTTGCACTCTAAGTTGGCCTTTAAAGGAAGTTAATAACTAATCTATCTATCCTAACGTTCACAAAAAGAGGTAGCATGGTACTTTATGGATGCATTATTGTAAAGGCCAAATTCAGGCATGTAAGTGATAGATATTAGGCTGCTTTGCTTGTGTTTGGGTGTATAGCCTTTGGCGGAACAGAATTAAAGCAAGATGCCAACGAGAAACAGTTTCATTCCAATTTGTAAGAAAGCTTTTTTTGTAAACACAAAGTATAGAGCCAAAAATTAAATAAAGCATTACTGTTTAAGTTAACCTTTTATCATTTTGTCATACTACTGCACTATTCTCAGATAACTTTTCAAGTTGTTTTAACTATTTCAGACTCTTGTGTTTTTCCTTTGGACTTAAAATGGCATGTTTGAAGAGAATGTACAAAGGTATATCTTGTATATTGATTCTGAAGCTTAGTGAAATCAATGAAAGCCTTAATATATCAACTTCAAGAGGCTGGCATCAAGCAGTGCAAAAAGTTATATTTAGAAGAGCCTCAAAAGAATATAAAGCATAACTAGGACAGTACAAAAATGTCTTAAAAGATATGTCAATGCAGACATATTGAAGATTGTTTTGGATTAATCTTTGATTTCTGCTTTGGTACCTGAACCTTTTTTCAGTTAATAAGGTCCTGTGGGATCAAGGGGTATTTTTGTCTGATGCTTGAAGAAGTATTTGTGTTTGATGTTCTCTAGACATTGTCAGACTGAAAGAGATACCATAGTTCCAGCTGAAAGAGATACCATAGTTCCAGGAAAAGTATGCCAGGATGATATGATGTTAGAGGAAAAAAATCCAAAAGTCCCTTAAGGAAGATGTGCCACATTCTACTTTCCTGAGCTCTGATTACAGGAAAGGCCGTATCAGAGAGTCTTGTCCTGTCATATCATGGAGATTAGTCCCAGAAGCTTTCCCAGTTACGTGGAGAATCTGCCCAAACTGGGTACACATTCACAGCTCAAGACAGAGAAATTTGCAGTGTGTATTTTGTCATTCAGAGAGAAACTCCTCCTGTTTTTCTTCAAATCCTTGTATTTTTCAGTTGCAGTGTACGTGTGGCAGTTTGCAATAAGACAGTTTAACTTTGCAGTTGTTGTGATTTAACCTCAGCCAGCAAGTGAGCACCACCCTCCTGATCATTATCCTCCTGGTGGCATGGGGGTAAGATTCAGAAGATAAATGTGAGAAAACTCATTGGTTGAGATACAGACAGTTTAATAGGTAAAGCAAAAGGTGTGCATGCAATTAAAGCAGCCCAAAGAATTCATTCACCACTTCCCATCAGCAGGTGGGGGTTCAGCCATCTCCAGGAAAGCAGGGCTACATCATGCTTAATGGTTACTTGGGAAGACAAATGGCATAACTGAATTTTCCCCTCTTTCTTATTCTCCCAGCTTTATATGCTGAGCATAACACCCTATGGTCTGGGACATCCCTTTGGTTAGTTGGGGTCAGCTGTCCTGGCCAGGTCCCCTACCAACTCCTTGTGCACCCCCA